CTGATTTAAGGTGATATGTATAATATATTACCTCATGGTAATATATAAACACACAAGAAAAAACTTACACTAAGATGTTTGCTACTATTGTCCGAAGCACGATTTTTAAAATGAAGCGCACTAAGCTCACTGCACTTTTCAATAAACAATTAACGGAAAACGGGAAATCATTAAAACAACAATTAATTTTCATTGACTCTGGTATCCATTATTGCGGTCATAGCCGCAGCTCCCAGTTGGCTCATAATCGGGAGCACCTCCCACCCAATAAAACTGGAGCCGTAATGCCAACGAGTGCGATGTGGGTGCAATTTGTGCATTGTTATGTTTCTGGGAATATCTGTTGTGCACACACACTCGCGCCTGCCAATTGTTATTATTTTTCTGTCAATTTTTGCATTTTACAGAAATGTTATAATCCCAGCCCCGCGAGCAAACATATCGATCGAGCGCAGTTTTAATTAATGCAAAAGCAGTAGCAACCATTTTTAATGTGACATTTGAACATGTTTGCGGCGGGAATCGAAATACAGAGAGATTCCATTTAATGACTTTGGCTATGGCTATGCCGTTTTCAGTTTAGTCGTCTTTAAGGATTGGCATCGCAAAACTGAGTGAATTTTACGAGTCCAATTTGTTTTGCCTCTTTTGCATTAATTTTAATGCATCGCCTGACTAAATATTTATGCAATACACAACGCCCCATTGCACATTTTGGTTGCAGAGCATCCGGGATAAAGGGTTGTCCGGGTTATTTCATTGGCTGCGCTCGCCGGATCGTTTGGGCTGATGGCCTTTTGGTTATATTTATGAAATGGCCCCGAAAGGCAGAAAGCGTTTAATGTCAAAGCGGTTCAAAGCGACTTTTAAATGAACTTTGGGGGAATGCCCGACGATATTGAATTTCTTTTTTCCCGCTTGCAATTGTGACACCGTTTTCGAAAAGCTTAGCTTTACGTACCACGGTCAAATACTAGAACACAAGAATAAATATCCCGAAAAATTATCCTTCGTGCTCACGAAATATGCCCATAATTGTATACCCTGCCTCGCGACCAGCAAATTTTCGAGCTAGTCCTCCATTATTGAGTGGGGTTTGCCTTTACATATTTCAAGTTAATGCTATTAAATGGTAAAACGCACACGTTCCACGCATTCGGGGCAAATGGGCCGTTGACCCCGGCCCAGGTAAATATAAATAGTGAGGGAGTGGCGAAAATCCGACTGAACAGGTGCATTTCCCCCTTCGTGCGCATTCAGCTGTGCGAAACTGTGCCGTTAAAAATTTGTTTTGGCTTACATTATTTATGCCTTTGGTAAATGAGTCCAGCCTCCATTTGGGGTGCCCATTCAGTGGGGGATTTCGACACGGCGAAAGGTTGCAATTGGAGTTGCTTAGTTGTTAATGGAACCAAACCAAATCATGTTCCACTCGCACACACGAATTTATAATTTGAAATTATTATACGGTTTCATGGCTTATTTCGGTTTGTTAAGTTTACAGGCCTCAGGCAAGTTTAAACATAAAGATGGTTTCCAGTTTCATGGCTGCACATTATTGTGATACATTTTCCCCAAAACAAAACAGTAGCAGATATTCAAATTTTATGGCAAGTATTAAATTGGTTCGAACCACGACGTTAATTTGAGATTGAAATTGAGTGAAATTAAAATATAATCTGAATGCACTAAATATTCATTGAATAAGGGCTCCTTATGCCCTTACTTAAAAATGTAGTCTAGTTACCCTTCTGCAATCGTCAAACAAATACAATTACGGCGCTGAAATTGGAAATTGCAAAACGAAGGAAAATGGAACAACAACAAATAACTGTTGAATAATAAAGTGTATAAATGGGAAATTCGCTGCCAAACAATAAAATTGCTCTAGCAACAAAACAAACACAGCAGGGACAAAAATGTTATTAACACAAATAGAAAATAAACAAAAACTGGGGGGCGACTGGGAAAGCGACATTTTGGATTCCGCGCGCTTGTTTTGTGTTTATTTTTGTGTGTGCAACAACCGGGCGAAAAATAAGCAACAAAAAAGAAATTTGCATAATGAGGCTATTATAATTTCAATTAAATTTCTCTATGCCCGGATTTTTTCGGCTCTATCCCCTATGAGCCAACCCGGTGGATGACTAACGACCACGGAACTACAACAAAGGCCCAAAATGGGCTTAGGCAGCCTCGAACCCGTGGGCGAAACAGCGATGTCAACAACAAACAGCAATCGCTTTAATTACATTATAAATTATGCAAACAAAGTATGTGCTAAAAAAATGTTGCAAACGTGTGTTAGATGTGGAATTATAACAAATTGGGTCGAACGCAGCTTCTGGAAAAATAAGTCAGAGTAATATTTGATCATGGATAAATTTGTAATGCGAACGTAAATTTACATGAGAATGTATAATACAAACGTTAGGATTACACTAAAAAACAATGAACAAACATATAATGTCAAACAGTTTAGAGGAAAGTTTCATATATGAACTATGCTTAGAGTAGTATCTACCTCTTAACTATTGTTACTCAAGGTTCAAGAAGTCTTCGCAAACCATTTCCGAACCAATAAGCCCTTGGGTTTGCTCAAAAGTGGCTCCCATCCCACATTTAACATAAGTTGGCAAAACAAGCATGGCAAGCCGCAACATTTGCATACCCAAATGGGCTCACAGCGGCCCATTCTTCCATGCCAAAAATAAAAAGCCCGTTGTACAGTTGGCTGCCATATTTCGAAGCCTGCCAGTGTCAATGCAGGCGAATGTCATAAATTTCGCCTGCAGACGGCCAAGATGCAGCCCCGCCCCGCCCAGCCGCCTCCGCTGCAACTGCGGCGCATAAATTTCGTTCCAATAAATTTAAATTAGCAGAATGTCAGGGGGCACGGCTCCGGAACAGTACAGCTACACGAGGCAGGGCCGCCGAGTCTGCTGCACACAGTATTTATGGCTCCGATCCGGGGAGTTCGGGGTATAGAGTGGGGCAAGCTGGGGCAAACTGGGGAAAGGACGACTAGGTGCGACATTGTAATGAGTGTGGTTCTGCGGCCAGTGTCGCCACACCTAAGCACATTAGGTTGTTGCTAATTAGCGATGTCTTCAGACGGGAAGGATTCTCGGAGGAGCTCTGCCCCAAATTAGATGATAAATCTCTGCGGGCATATCAGAATGGAGATACTTTAGGCCTCCATCTCCATCTCCAGCTCGGCTGGGTACTGATTTTTTAACTATTTTAAAGTTCAATTGCATGTAACTCTAATTATAATTAGCAATCCACTTTATTATATGACAATTCATTAAAATTCGAACGAATTTCAGGCCGCAACGAAAATTGCACAAAAAATTGCAATTAAATTTGAGCTCTTGTATTTTCTATTTTTTCATTTTGTGGCAAATGTGCCAAGCCGAAACTAATTCCACTCAGAATGACGATCAGATAACAAATGCAAATACAGCTTATTTATTCAACGAATCTGACACAAGATATTTGGCGTTTACCACAAGAACTTTAGCAGTTCTTATCACCTAAATTGAGTTCGTGAATTTTCTTATGACAGAACAAATCAAAAAGAGTTGAGATGGAGGAGCATTTTCTCATTTTCCAGACAGACAGCATTAAATATTAAGAGAGCAGCCTCGACGATGTCAGGCAAGTAATTTCTCAAATTGCAAATGACTTTGCAATTGTTTGAGGGTGTAAACTTAAAAGCGGAGGTCCTGGGAGGTGGGACACCATTTCCAAATGCATCCTGTGTCTTATTCCACACAGCAAATGGCTGGGACCCCACCAGAGTCATCAATATAAACCGACCAAAACCACAGGCAACTAATGACTAACTGCATAAGTAAAGCGGAGGAAGGCGGCGTTCGATATGATACCTTGCAATACCCTTATTGCTTGCTGAAAGTGAAAAAACTCCACAGTAAAATAAGGAGTTATGGTGAATGTTAATTTAAATCGTTTCTGTTCATTTCAGGACCCGAAGCGTTTCTTAACTAACTTAAGGCGTAAAATACATGCTCAGAAAGCCCAAATGCGGTGTTTATTGGGCTGGGGAAATAGCTGCAGTACCCCGTGCTAGGGTATAATGAACCGAACAGTTTGGAGAGTTACTCTTCTGGCCGGCCAGCAAAATAGTCCCAAATGTCCATGAGCCGAAGCCACCAGCGCAGCAGTTTATCATTGTGAGAAAGAGCCCCGGTCCAGTCCGCTCCCCATCTCCCTCCCACACGACAGCCGTCTCTTTCGGAGCTGCCGAATCAGCAGTGAAGGACAACGATGTCAGCAACAGGAACAAAGGATGACCTCCGCCGCCAGCAGTCCATAGCACACCATGGCATTCCATTTATAAACCACCAAAACGAGACGATGACGATGACGACAACGACAACGACGAGCATTGACCAGGAAGCGAGGGAGAGAGACGGAGGAAGGGGCCATGGAAAGAGACGGCCATAGGAAGTGGCAGAGGACGGCCAACTGCAAGAAAATGCCACAAAACTGTTTGGTTTTCTTGCATTTCCAGATCCCCGCCCAAAACGCCCCAGCGGCGAGCAAGGAAAACAACGCACCAAGTCTTGACAGCTGACATCTTGGGCATGGAGCAGCCGAAAAATATTCAGGGCCCATTGTTGGTCCTGCGTTCCCAGGATTCTGCAAGCGACAGCTGAAAAGTAAAAGTTCGTCATTCAATCTATGCGTGTTTTTGAGCTTAGCCACGCCAATGACAACTTTCTCTGGAAGTTGCAAGTTGGAACTTAAGATTTGCTAAAAGGTGCTATGGTAAGTAATTTACGTCTGATTGTCTTAAATACATGATTGCTGTGCCTCATGAGCTTTACAATTTAATTTACAGTTGCATTCTAATGTTTCACATTTTATATTATTGCTGATGTGCTTTACTGCCCCCATCAAACTACTTACTTTTATGTAAGTTTTTGGTTTGAAACAGCGCTTAACTGTACACTCCTTTGGATTCGATTATTCCCCTAAAATAATCCCTCGCTTGGGTTAACCTGACCCGCATTACTATAAATATGCACTCGTTTCAAGGATACCTTCACGGACCGAGAGCGACTCCAACCTGACCTATTCCAAGCCCTGACAACGAGCTGCGAAGCCAGCAAAGCGTGAAATTTCAATTTAACCCATTAATAAACCCAGCTGAAAATCTCCGGCGAATGCAATCAGGAGCACAGAGAAAAAGACACAAAAATAGACAATAGTCAAAGGCGGAGCGATCCCCCAACTATTCATATCCCACCCCCAGTTTCAGGTCCAACTCTTTGGTTAGTCATCTCTTGGAGCGGCAGCGGCCACAAAACAACTTTGGACTACATTTCACAGGAGCCTCACACACACACACACACACACACCCAGGCACACACACACACCCAGGCACACACACAGAGAAGCCCATACAAAGAGAGACAGCGGCTGCCACGCCCACAATTTAGACGATTTCACACAACAGAATCGCACGGGGGCGGGGCGATGCGGGGGTGGGGCAGCACTTCCGTTTCCGCTAGCTTGCACTGATTGTTTTATATCCTGTCAGAGGACACGCCGTTGCCGAAATTCACAAACTTGTTTTGCGCTTTCTTGGCGACTTGACTAAGAAGCGGCCGATGCACTCAGCAAATATTTGGCAAGCAATTCAATTCAATTTGAATTTATAATAAATTTGTAAATATAATAGTGGGTTGCAACAGGTTGCAACTCTTGTAGGTAAATGCATGATTTACTAAACTTTTAAGATGTAGCTGTAAGTATTGTTTTGCCTCTAAAATAATTACCTAAGTTATTTGGGGCCTAGCTCGCCCCTTCCCAACAATTCTTGCAGTGTAGTGAGATAGTGGATTGCCGGATTTCGGGTCCCTCGACTGTCGTTGCACTGCTGCGGCATTTGAATGCGGTCCTCGTCCAGTGGCGTCCTGCGAGAGAGCCCAGCATCCTTGCATATTTAATCAAAGTGAATTACAAATGCCACCAGACAATGACAGTGGCAACTTGGCAAATGACGATGGAGTCGCCGCCGTCCACGCCCCGTCCTTATCAATTTGAAAGTGTTATATATAACACCAGGACCAGCGCCAAGATAATGTTTCATTGTTCGTTGAGTAGCGCGGGGTGTTGTAGCTTGTAATTTGCGTTAGCATGATCAAAAAGCATTCAGTTAATAATAAGGCGAGCAGTCCATTATTTAGTCATTGATGGGGCCGCGCACTTGGCGCAAATGCCAGGCTCCCCTCGGAAAAGTTAATTTATTTCTTTTTCGCAGCTTCTTTCCGGCTGCCGAAAAGAATGTATCCAGAGAAAGTTAAGTTTATGGCTTGCACCTTTTCCCCGTGAACGGCAAAAGGGCCCTTAAACTTCCCTCACCTTCGCTCTTCAGGGGCTTCCCCTAGCTTAACCCAATCTCAGCCCCTGGGCGACAGTTTAATAATTACTCATTTTGCTTTTCTAACCAAAGTACTTTGCAAAAAATGGCAAAGTAAATTCAAAACGGTCTCCATTTTCCATATAAGCCCTCGCGATGTTAGCGCCAGTGACTTGTAGTTAATTTACCCTTTTCTTTTAGGGCTTGATAAGATTTTCAATTGTTTTTTGGGTTCGCCATTTTTTAAAAGTTGTATTTAATTAAAAACGATTTGACCTTTCTAAGCCGTTCTAGGAATCGCTTCATTTGTAAGAAGAAATATTATTTTTATGTTTGGTTGTTGCGCAGCCCCTAATTATTTATATTGCTACTGCCGTACCGAACTTCTGCATAATACTAACCCAAATTGTAAACGTACTGCCTACACAATGAAGGGACAAATCAAAATCAGGCGCGTGGCAAATCGAACAACTTTCCCAAAAATATGAAAACAATTTTCCCAACTCGAATTTTACATTCCCGCAGGGGCCCGCATAATTTTTGACCCACACACACTTTTCTACATTGCAAATTCGAATAGTTCGGCCCAACAAGTCAATGAAAAGTCCCTGTGGGTGCAATAAGATGGTCAGTAGGGCGTAATTGGACCCAAGGCAGCAAAGTTTCTAGCCAGACCCGAAGAAAAATATTTATGCACTGCGGTGGGTCGCTATCGTTTTACGGACTTTGATTTTATGACTACTGCATATGTGCCATGTGTAAGCCAAGTTCCACACTTTTCCGCTTTTCATTTTGGCTGACAGCTGCTGCGCCACTTTCAATTAACCCTTTTGACATTGAATTCACTGCTGCTCCTGGTGGCTCACATCGGGATTAGAATGCTGGAAATTTAAGACCCCACTCCCGATTCCTGCGCCCGCCGAATGTCTCCGTGTAATTTAATAAGCTCCTCCATGTAACCAGCTCGCGAGCCCGACTTCACCTCTTCTTCCACTTCCCTTGGCTTAAGCCTATAATTTACAATGTTTCGGCTGGTCTTGACTTGGCATCCCCTCATTGGTTTCAGGGAGGGGCGGGAAAAAATTAGCATTTCTGTGCCGCTGCCTACGATTTTCGGTAAGCATTTTTTAACTGGAAATTAAAGTGCGCGCAAGTGTAATTAAGTAGCTGCTCAAATTAGACGAGCAATCCCTTTCTTGGCCATTTCTCAGCAGGCCAGTCGACTGTAAATGGGTTAAACTCTTGGGATTTATGACAATTTTTTAATTACTTGACGCAGCCGTCCGTCGCCCCTTGCTTTTTTGACTGCCTTATTAATCAAAATCGCTTGCGCGTAAATAAACTTTTTTCTATCACATTTCCCCTTGCTTGTGAAGGAAAATTTCGAGACGCATATGCAAATTCCATAACTTTACATGTTACTCCAACAAATTTCATGATAAAAGTTTCGCATTTTATGTTCATTGCGATTGTTCACAGCTTCTTTGAATTTGAATCGTGTGCGACAACGAATTCTTTGGCTTTGATTGGAAATCCGTGCAATATATTTCCCAAATAGGCGACAAAGTTCACAACAATTTACTTATGGAAAATTAGACAAGGAACCTAATGAGAATTGGAAATTGGTAACCTTCGTCTTGATCTTCTGAGAACGGGGAAAATTAAAGTCAGTAAAGGTAGCAGATGTAAAAACATTGATTTGTTATTTAATTAACTTAATACAGAGCTGCTTCATTAAAGATACACATAATGAGTTGGGTATTACATTTTTTTCATTTATTTAAATGGATATTTTACGCAATCCATATACAAATATGTAGCAATAAGAAATTCAGAGCTCTCATCTGGAAAAATCGTTGGTCGTTTTCTATGTTTGCCCTTTTCTAGGTAACCATGAAAGTACCCTTTTTGGAAAATGATATAGTGAAATGATATAGTCAAGGGAAAATGATATAGTGACTTTGAAATACTTCTTATAACAATCCGGCTATTAAAGAACTTTTTGTAGAAGCGAGAGACTGATTATTAGTACGGGTTTCAGATATAATTATTCGTATTTATAAATATAAAAGAACATACTCCTAGTTTAAATTAATTAATGAGTTTGCTTCAATATCAAAAAATTTTTTATATTTTGCTTAAAGCTAGCTTAAATGTAGTTTACAGAGATTAGATTTTAAAGGCATCTTAACAGCTGAAAAATTTAAATTATATTTAATATTACAATTTGTGGATTTAATATTTTAAAGCAGGGAAAAAGTGGTACAAAACCTTAAACAGACCTAGCTTTAATAATTACGTATCATGACTCTTTTTTTCCAATCAGAAGCTTGAGCTTTAACAGCGAGCGAGGAATGCAAGCAGTGCAAGCAGTTCATGTTAGCTGCGCGCGCAGCTATAATTCAAATGTCAGCATGATTGCTCAAAAACGAATCCATATTTTTCGCGCATTTTATTATGAAACCCATTACGGCGACAATTACTTGACCTATAACCCGCTGTCAGTGCACATGAACTGCGACTTTATATCACTTTCGAGAGCTCGCAGAGTGATCATTAAAAAGCAATTACACGGAAGACGCGAAACAGCTGTCTTCTGTGAGCAGCTCTGCCCTCGCCGCTTATCAGTCGCGATATTCAGCTCCAAGATTCTGCGCCATATGTTTCGGTGCAGCGGCGCAACCCATATTGCGATAAGGGGCAATCGTGATTAAAGCCACAACTGAATTGAGGCTGCTGTGGGCTCACTGGCAGTCGAACTGATGGATCGGATTGTTCGGTTCCATTGCACGATTCAGTTGTTCCTCGTCAATCGCGACCTGCGGAAGTGTTCATTGCTCTATCGTGCTCCATCGTATTGTAGTGCTGATTCTGACCCTTGAGTCTTACACTTAGTAGCTGTGAATACAATTGGAGTGGCGAGCGGATAGATGGAGATCCGAGTGGGAGTGGGCGATCTGCTGAAAATGGGCACCAAGTAAGTGATCACTTGGCAATTACAGTAAAAGCTCGCTTGGAGAGACCCCGTAGTGTTCCATACTACTCAATTGTATTCTAGTGCTCAGCTGAGCGCAGAGCTTAATCGTGATAAGTGATAAGGTTTATTGTGCCATGTATTAATCACAAATAGTTCACTGTTTTAACGCAGATTACTGAGTGGCAGTGCTGACATTTAGTTTTTTGACTTGAAAGACTTGAAAGATTGCCACCCAAACGCCAAATATGATAGGCAAGCAGGCTCTTTATTTTTAAAATATTCACTTCCGGTTCAAGGCTCTATAGCTTAAATGGCAGGATACCAAAGTAAAACTAACATCGAATAAGGAGCTCGAAATCGAGCTAAGGCTGTAGATATCAAAACGATTGCTGTTCCAAAATTGTTGACCGACATATCAGTTAACCAAATGAGCTTTTACTGTATTCAACGAGTACTTCTTCCGCTCTCACAATGATAAGATAAGAAAGCTCCAACTCAACTCCCAAAGACCTTAACGCATAATCAACCAGTTGTTTATGAAGAATATCATATTATAAATAATACATAACTAAATAAAAAGAGAAATACTATTTTGTTTTTTTAAATTACAGAAAATATCAAAACCTCTTTTTCCACACAGGCTCATTGGCCACAAGATCGTCCAGTACCGCCTAGGCACAAAGCAGACGAAGGTGGTCTGCACCAGGGATGGCCAGGTGCGCGGACATCGGCGAAGAACACTCTACGACGAGGAACTGTACTTCGCCTTCGAAGGAATCCCCTTCGCCCAGCCGCCGGTGGGGGAGCTGCGCTTCCGTGCCCCCCAGCCGCCACGCCCCTGGCTGGGGGTGCGGGACTGTACCTACCCGAGGGCCAAGCCCATGCAAAAGCACTTCGTGCTCAGCATCGTCGAAGGCAGCGAGGATTGCCTGTACCTAAACGTGTACTCCAAGCGCCTGAAGTCGGACAAGCCGCTGCCCGTGATCGTCTGGATTTATGGCGGTGGATTCCAGATCGGCGAGGCTGGTCGGGACTTCTACAGTCCAGACTACTTCATGCAGCAGGACGTCGTGGTTGTCACATTCAATTACAGGGTGGGCGCATTGGGTAAGCTTCCTAAGTTGTTTACTTTTTCGTTAGATGATGTGATTGCAACATTATACAGTGTTGGAACAAATAATAGAAACAAGAATCGCTCCTGCATGCAAAACAAAATTCCTAATTATGTACGAAGTGTGTGTGGATAAACACTAATATTAAGCCAATAATATAAAGATGAAAAAATATTTTTGTTCCTTATTGTGAAATATACTTATATATGCATTTAAAAAAATAATGATTGAAAAATATTACTTTCGTTCTGAGCACAAAATTTAAAATCAATGATTCAACCAACGTGTTTCTATTATTTTTTCAACCACTGTATATAACTAGATATAAAACATATATATTTAATATATATAATATTATGCTTGTATAAACGTATACTTCACTTGCCACATTCCAAGCTTAAATATTCATTAATTTATTAATATTAATGAATATATTTAATATATTGTTGAAAGTGAATAGCTCTGTTTAACGTTTGTTTTCTGGCTTGTGGAACCTTTTTTTCACAAGTTCAACACTGCTATGGAAAATATTAAAATATTAAATGTTAATTAGGAATCCAGGTTACTAAAAATCTTCCCTCTGCCTTGATGCTACTTACCTTCGGAGTAATCATCATGCGAATTACACGGTGCAATTCCCACCATGCAAACTCAATTTCAATCGGATTAATTGCCCACTACTGCCACCTCCAGTCATAAAATCAGCATTACTATTATTATTGCCGTTTAAGCTGCTATTAAACTGGAGAGAGAAAAGTAGGCGCTTTGATAATTATTACCTTAACGATCAATTAAAATGACTGTAAGCTGCTCTGTATCTAGCGATCCATAGATCAAAACTGGATTTATTATATCAAACTATGTATTTTTAAGTTACTATTGCTGGGGTATAAATTATAAAGCTGTTAACAAGCTGTTATTAAGCTGCTAACAAGCAATATAAAAGTCATAATTACTAACACACAACTTTGTTTCAGGCTTCCTCAGCCTCGCGGACCGCGACTTGGATGTGCCAGGAAACGCTGGTCTCAAGGACCAAGTGATGGCCCTGCGCTGGATCAGTCAGAACATAGCGCAGTTCAATGGAGACCCCCAAAACATAACGCTGATGGGCGAGAGTGCGGGCGCAGCCTCCGTCCACGCGATGATGACCACAGAGCAAACCCGAGGGCTGTTCCATAAGGCCATCATGCAATCGGGGTCCATGTTCTGCGAGTGGGCCAACGAGCCAAGTGGCAGGTGGGCATACCGCCTGGCCTGCCAGCTGGGATACTCGGGCAGTGAGAACGAGAAGGAGGTGTTTCGATTCCTCCAAAAAGCGCCCGCCTCCGAAATGGCCGCACAGGGAATTACGCTCGTCTCCCAAGAGGAACGGCGGGAGTACGTCCTGTTTCCCTTTACTCCCGTGGTGGAGCCCTATATCACCAGGGATTGCGTGTTGCCCCGTTGCCATAGGGACATGCTGCCGGGCGCTTGGGGGAATGACCTGCCGCTGATACTGGGGGGCAACTCCTTTGAGGGCCTCTTCGCCTACCAGAGCACCCTGCACGACGAGGAGCACATGCTGAGTGCCTTTGAGGTCCTAATTCCCCGCGAGGTCAGGGAAACGAGCACCCAGTCTCACCTCAAGGAGCTGCTGCGCCAGTTCAAGCTGGATAACTTCGAGGATGCCACTCGTGGGCGCATGGAGTTCAATGAGTGCCTGCATATACTGTCCATCAAACACTTCTGGCACGGCATCCATCGTACTGTACTGGCCCGCCTCAGCCACGCCCCCACTACGCCCACCTATCTGTACCGGTTCGACGTGGACTCGGCCCACTTTAACCACTTCCGGCAGGTGATGTGCGGAAAACACGTTCGCGGAGTCAGCCACGCCGACGATATTTCCTACCTCTTCTACCACATTCTGGCCAGCAAGGTGGAGAAGTCTTCGATGGAGTACCAGACCATTCAGAGACTGGTGGGCATGTGGGTGGCCTTCGCCCGGAACGACAATCCCAACTGTCCCCAGATCGGGCCGACCACGTGGGAAGCGCTGGAGGAGCAAGGTCCGCAGAGGTGCCTCAATATTGGAAAGCAACTGGAGTTCATTGTGCTGCCGGAGTCCAAGCAGAATCGGATTTGGGATAGACTCTACGATAGGCACGACCTGTTCTAGATGGGAGTAACCTTTGTAAATAAATTGCAGCTGGGTTTCCCACGACGAAATTGAAAATAATTGTAGTCAATTATTTAATTTAATTTTTTATGGTCGTCAAAGTAGCCTGCTTTAATTGGAAATGATAGTTGTTGGTAATAGTTGTTATTTGTATAAGCAAGCATTAGGAAAGTAAGTTTTAAAAAATATGTTTATGAAAATACGTTGCTTAATCTAGTTAAGTAAAACTGGTTTGCGTGATAGCAATAATCAAAATGCGAAAAACAAGTCGCCTTTGCCAGCTAGTTTTCCATCAAATGACCTCAAACTTGATCTTGGCAATGATTCAACCATGTTTTCGATTATAATGGGATTAAAGGCCAGTGGCAACTATGACATTGTTGTACAGAGTTATTTCCATGGTAAGCCTAACTTATTTTAAAACCGTATTTAAAAGAGGTTTGATTATGCCAATAAAAAATATAAGAAAGGAAGTCCCCACTCTCTAATTTATATTTACAAATAAGCACGACCGACAACCAAAAATACTTGCTTATCTATGAACACAAAAGTGCAAGATTTATAATTAGAAATTAGTTCGTGATTAAGTCTAGAAGTCTTCAAAGGCACTCTTTGTTATAATCAAAAACAATTTCAACATCTATACTGTTGCCAAAGCGATGGAGATACCTTACTATGTATAAGTATTTATTCATCATTAGGGCAAAGGAAAAAGTGGAATTTCGAAACGATATTAAATAATGTAAGTAAGTAAAGTACATTGATGAAGACTTGAGCACTAGAAGAGAGCCTCCCTGGGATAAAAAGTATCCCACACCGCCAGGCAGTCGGCCTCCGGCAATTCCCGCATTTCCAGATCGTGGCTGATGTTGAAGCACTGCTCCACGGCGTTTTCCATCGGCTGTACGGGTTCCCACTTGGCAGATCCGAGTTCCGGGCAATTCGGATCCCCGCTGGAGGCAAACGACGTCCACATGCCCACCATTCTCTCTATGGTCTTGTACTCCATCGACGACTTGGCCAGCTTGGAGGCTATGATGTTGTAGAACAGGTACGACAATTCATCCGCATGGGCTACTCCGCGAATCCGATCGCCGCACACCAATCGCCGGAATTGGTTGAAGTGCGGGGAGTCGAAGTCGAAACGGTAAAGATAGGTGGCGCTTTTGGGGGCATAGGACTGGCGGGCGAGAATGAAGCGATGCGTATCGTGCCAAATCTGGCGATGCGAATATATGTTTAGGGCCGCAAAGACCTCCATCGATTCCTGCATCTCGTTGTTGAAGTAGAGTTTCTTTAGTCGCCTGACGAGTAGATCCTGCCCTTCCAGACTGCTGGTGTCCCTGACCTCCCTTGGGAGGATGTTGTGAAAGTTTTTCAGGGCCCACGGGTCGTTTCTCACCAATTGGTAGGAAAACAAGCCCTCGAAGGAGTTTCCGCCGACAATAATGGGTATGGCGTTGCCCCACGCCTTGGACAACAGTTCCTTGTGCCTCTTGGGCACCACACAGTGGTCGGTTTCGTAAGGTTCCACCACGGGACCGAAGGCGAACAGTAGGAAGCTCCGCACCTCATCCCTACTGATAACGTCCTGATCAATGGCCGCTATCTGACGAGCGCTCACCTTGCTAAGAAAACTTAGTACATCCGCGTCCTTCTCGGCGCCCTTATAGCCCAGGTTCTGGGCCAACCGGAAGGCCCAGTTGTTGTCCGGACTTTCCGCCCATTCGCTGAGCGCACATCCCGACTGCATGATGGCCTTGTGGAAGAGACCACGTGTTTGCTCCGTGGTCATCATCACGTGGACTGAAGCGGATCCTGCACTTTCTCCCATCAGTGTGATGTTGTTGGGGTCGCCATTGAAGTGGGCGATGTTCTGGCTTATCCAACGCAGAGCCATTACTTGGTCCTTCAGACCCGCGTTTCCGGGAACATCCAGCCTCGGGTCCTTTAGACTGAGGAATCCTAAAAGGGACATTATGGCATTAGTTTTATATTAATTGACTGAATATTTACAAATTTCTTACTACTTTAGTTTGTTGAATCAATAATCGATTCCGACTTGCCACCTACTATAAATTTGTTTGTATACATTCTATACCTATTTAGTTAATGACATTTTTTCTTATTAATGCTGATAAAGATTATTACGCTGCTTAAGCACATATACTCGTACATGGTGGAAACACTACCTTCTATTCCCAGTTTATGTGAATGATGAACCCCTTATCAAAAATGGATTATTCCCCCATTTCCTATTCAGTCACATAGTTATTCCTCACCTAGTGCTGCCAACCTGTAGTTGATAGAGACGAATACCACTGACTGCTTCATGAAGTAGTCGGGACTGTAGACGTCCCTGGAGGCCTCGCCCTTTTGGAAACCACCGCCATAAATCCACACAATCACGGGCAGCGGTTTTTGCGACTCCAGGGCTTTGACATAAACGTTTAGGTGCAAACAGTCCTCACTGCCCTCGACGATTCCCAGCAGCATGTTCCTCTGCATCGGCTTGGACCGATTGGTAGTGCAGCTGAGCACTCCTTGCCAGGGATCCGGTGGCTGAGGAGCCCTGAACCGGAGGTCACCCACGGGCGGCTTGGCGTAGGGAATACCCTCGAAGGCGTAGTACGGCTCCTTATCATAGACCGTCTTCCGTTGGAGTCCGCGCACCTGTCCGTACTTGGTGTCCAAAACCACTGTGTGGCCCGTGGAGAGCCGGTACTGTTGCACCTTGTGGCCCACCAACCTGAGGAAGAGATTGGAACTAAGAACTTGGTCCGAAGCTAACGATTGCCAAAAATCACGACTCGTGACCCTTGGCCCTTGAGCTAATTACTCACTGCGCTCCCATCTTCAGCAGCTTGGGCCATCCCACTTGCATCTCCATGATTTTGTGTGTTTCTATTTGTTAGGATTATATTCCGGATCCACTTCGCTTGGAGGACCTCGCAGTGTTTCTGGTTCTGGCGAATATTCCCGTGCGACTGATCGAAGAAATACATGATAGCACCTTAAATCAGGAGAGACGGCGGAAACACTTGATTATACATTAATACATATAACTATATAACTATATCGCGGCACGATCTTTGTCGAGCACAGCTTAGGTCAGCAAAATAGGTCACTGTCTTGCTTCAAAGTATACGTAAAATGAAACACATCCTATTCGAATATAAATAGAATAGCGCGTTAGAAACTAATTTGTATTCATTAAAACCATTAAATACTAATAATATTCAACATATTTTTAAGTTGGGAAAATGCAATGTTGACCTCCAGTGTAAAAAGTAGTGCGCATTAATTATAAAGGGAATTTTACTTTTTAGCTATACATATGTACATTGGGAATATAGTTTTCGAATTACTTGTAATACAAAAAATATTAGGTATATTATTAAAAAACTAGTACAATTTTCATTGGAACCAGTTACTAATTTAAGCAACATATTTGTAATATTTTACAAACACGGAATTCTTAAGAAAAACTTATCACGTTTATTAAAGTAAAAACAAAAAAAGCTTAACAAATATACTTTTACATATTAGGTGTTAGCACGGTTGTAATATTTTTACTTCTTAGCGGATGTATTCTGTATTTTGTAAATCGTTTTTGGAACGTTTTTAAAAACTAGAAGAGGTACATTTATTTCGACAAACGTATGCATTTATTTCTGGCTCGTTCGTGCTGTTGAAAACAAATATTCAAAAATGTATTAGACGCATGAATATTTCTTGAGGTAGGATTTGTGGTTTATTTAGGAATTCGATTGTCCTACACCAAATTCTCAACTGATCTTATGCAGCGTTTTCGATCGAATCGGCAGAACTGCAACTTCTAATGCTAAATTGCGTATAATGAAAATGTGAATAAGCTCGAGTTGATCAGGTAGGGAAAACACTGTCTAAAAAGATAATAACTTATAGCATTAAATAACAGAATTGTACATGCATCACTATGTGGTACGCGACTGTGACTGCTAGCATATCTCGCTGTTAAGAACAGAGCTGCTTCTGTTGATCGCTGAAGACGCTCTCCTTCTGTTATTGCGCAGTCAGCTGACTGCGACATTAAGCTTTTCAAACACAGTGCCACAAAGCTACAAAGCAAACTGAAAATCAGCTGTCTCGAATTTCTCCGATTTAATTTCATTTGTTGCGCGACAAAAGGGCCCTAAATGTTCTTCCGCTGCAAGATAAAAGGTTGCTAGCGCGAAGCCAGCACTTAGCAGTCGAGCATGGAGAGGTAAGGTCGCAGCAGCAGCGCGCACTCCGCGGCAGCGAACTAAGTTTTCCCGAATCCTCCAGCTTGCAGGTGAACACGACCAGCGGACCGGTGCGCGGAAAACTGTGCACAGCTGTGTACGGCGATGAGTACGTCAGCTTCGAGCGGATCCCGTACGCGCAGCCGCCGGTGGGCCCGCTCCGCTTCAGGGCCCCCGTGCCCGTGGCGCCCTGGAGCCAGCCCCTGGACTGCACCCAGCCCGGCCAGAAGCCGCTCCAGTTCAACCACTACTCCCAGCAGCTGGAGGGCGTCGAGGATTGCCTGTATCTGAATGTCTTCGCGAAGGAGGTACCTCTGCGGGATCGCTAAGTATTCCCTCTTCAAGGCCACAGCTTACTTGGGCTCAGAGCCAATAGCATTGATAGCAGCAGGCGCTTTTCCAGCCCATGAAATTGTATTGTATAACCATTTGAAGTTCAGTTCATATAATACTTCTTCAATGAAGTTTTTACTGCGAGACTAGGGCCTTTCTTGTATATCGACACATAACCCAATCCACCGTTCCTAATCCTTTAATACCTTCGATACAGCTGGACTCCCCCAGGCCTCTACCGCTGATTGTGTTCTTCTTTGGAGGTGGCTTCGAAAAGGGCGACCCCACCAAGGAGCTGCATAGTCCTGACTACTTCATGATGCGCGATGTGGTCGTAGTCACGGTCTCGTATCGCGTGGGTCCCCTGGGATTCCTGAGCCTGAAGGATCCTGCCGTTGGAGTGCCCGGAAATGCAGGCCTGAAGGATCAGCTGCTGGCCATGCAATGGATCAAGGAAAACGCAGAAAGATTTAATGGCGATCCCAAGAACGTGACCGCTTTCGGTGAGAGCGCCGGAGCCGCTTCAGTGCATTACTTGATGCTGAATCCCAAGGCTGAGGGTCTGTTCCAGAAGGCCATTTTGCAATCGGGCAATGTGCTCTGCTCCTGGGCCCGCTGCTCCATCCAGAATCTGCCCCATCGGTTAGCGGTCAACCTGGGTATGGAAAGTGCCGAGCATGTAACCGACGCCATGGTTTTGGACTTCCTGCAGAAGCTGCCGGGAGAGAAACTCGTTCGACCATATCTACTCAGCGCAGAGGAGCACCTGGACGACTGCGTCTTTCAGTTTGGACCTATGGTGGAGCCCTATAAGACGGAGCACTGCGCGCTGCCCAAGCATCCGCAGGAGCTGCTAGACAAGGCCTGGGGCAACAGGATTCCGGTGCTGATGAGCGGCACTTCCTTCGAGGGTTTGCTGATGTACGCCCGGGTCCAGATGGCGCCGTACTTGCTGACCAGCCTGAAAAAGGAACCAGAGCACATGCTGCCACTGGATGTCAAGCGGAATCTGCCCCAGGCGCTGGCTCGGCATCTGGGCCAGCGACTGCAGGAGACCCACTTCGGCGGAAGCGACCCTTCTTCCATGTCGCCAGACTCCCTAAAAGCGTACTGCGAGGTGAGATGGATAAGTTCTTTACATCTTGTGATTTGATAGATTGTTCGATAACTTCTTTCAGTATGCCAGCTATAAGGTGTTTTGGCATCCCATTCTAAAAACGCTGAGATCCCGCGTGAACAGCTCCAGTGCATCCACATATCTTTATCGATTCGACTTCGACTCTCCCACGTTCAATCACCAGCGATTGAAGTACTGCGGGAACCAGTTGCGGGGCGTAGCCCACGTGGACGATCACTCGTACCTGTGGTATGGAGCCTTCTCCTGGAAGCTGGACAAGCACACACCCGAGTTCCTCACAATCGAGAGGATGATTGACATGCTGACAAGCTTCGCGAGGACATCGAATCCTAACTGCAAGCTCATCCAGGATCAGCTGCCTCGTGCCAAGGAATGGAAGCCCCTGAACAGCAAATCAGCTTTGGAGTGCCTCAACATCTCTGAGAACATCAAGCTGATGGAGCTGCCGGAGCTGCAGAAGCTGCGGGTCTGGGAAAGTGTCTGCCAATCAACGGACTAGCCCAGAGTATTAAATTTCCTTGCCAAATTTGTAGCCGATATCAAACAATTGCCGAGTTTCTACAACACAAATTTCATTTGGAACTATATTGTATAAAGTACCCATACGTTATGGGGGCAACAAGTATTTGTTGACAACCAGTCAAATCGATAATGGTAAAGGCCTGGCGCACAAAACCAATTTTATGACTTGTTGCTTTCTTCCCAGATTCATTTTTTACTTTCCCAGAAGCCCATCTGCATCCGAATCTTGAATGTGAGCCATTCAAGATAGCCTACTTTATAATTCAATTTCTGTCCCCTTGTTTATGTGCAGCAAACTTACCCCTGTTTGAGATACGAGCCGATCCGAGTATATTTAGGTTGATAAGCCGCGGCTATCGATAGAGGTGCTCATTGCTTAATAGTAAGTGAAGCCAGTCAAAGCCAGAGGCGGACGAGAGATGTCGGAGATGTCGGACGACTAGTAGGAGCACTCATTGAAATCCAACGGAAATTTGTTAATTATAGTTTTATTTAGCATTGACGTTGCACCCGTGGTGCAGACCACACATGGAAAGGTTCGGGGAACCCTGCTTAAATCCCTGTATGACGAACAGTTCTACGCGTTTGATGGCATCCCCTACGCGGTTCCTCCGCTGGGATCTCTTCGTTACAAGGAGCCCCATGACCTCAAACCATGGCACGGGATTCGCGATTGCTCCAAGCCGCTAAGCAAGTGCCTGCAACTGAGCACACTAACCAAGCTGGTAGAGGGCTCCGAGGATTGCCTCTACCTGAACATATCAGTAAAAACTGTGAGTCTTGTACTTTCTGGAACTGAAGCCCAAACACCAATCATTTGTTCATTTCAGCTAAACGGTGATCCCATGCCTGTGATGGTCTACATCCATGGAGGCTCCTTTAAAGGCGGAGATTCTTCAAGGCGTGCCTGGGGTCCCGACTATTTTATGAAAGAAAACGTTGTGTACATAAGCATTGGCCATCGACTGGGACCCTTAGGTGATCTTTAATAGAGCTAAAACAATTGGCATTCGATAACATTGCATCTATTTCATGCAATCCTTTCACAGGCTACCTCAGTCTTAAGGATCCCGATCTTGAAGTTCCCGGCAATGCTGGATTGAAGGACATAATCCTGGCCCTCCGTTGGATCAGGGCAAACGCGGCCAACTTCAATGCGGACCCTGAGAGAATCACCATCTTTGGTCACAGCTCCGGCAGCATAACCGTTCAGCTGTTGCTGGCAAGTCCGCAATCAGAAGGCCTTTTCCATAGGGCCATACTTTTGGCAGGAATTTCAATGGAGCTGAATCGGCTACCTGAAATGGAGTACCGTCTGGCCAAGTATTTGGGCTACGAGGGCGATAATGTCGATAGCCAGGTCTTGGCGTTCCTTTTGAAGGCAGATCCCGAACTGGTCGTCTCCGCGGACCTTTTCACTCCACTGGAAAAGAGCAAGGGTCACAGCATGCCCTTCAGACCCAGCATCGAAAGCTACGCCACTCCCAATGCAGTGCTCCTTGCCGAGCCCGTTGACCTCCAACGAACTTCGTGGAGCAATCGCATTCCCATCATCTTGGGCGCCAACAGTGGCGAGGGCTTGACTATTTTCAACTTCCTAAAGATGAACCCTACGTGGCTGAAGAACGTTCAATGCAACCCGGAGCGGGTACTGCCTTGGACCCTGAGAAACCGTTGTGATCCTGGACAGCGGCGCCAACTGGGCCAAGCACTGATCCATCACTTCTGTCAGGCGCACGGCCACGAGTTGACTATAGATCACACTAACGGATTGGTGGAGCTCTTCACCCACAGCTTTGTGCATGCAATGCACCGACTAATCCAATCCAGACTCACTTACGGCCAGGCGCCCACTTACCTTTATCGATTTGACTTCGACTCGCCGGACTTTAATTTCTACCGCATTCGCTTCATGGGAAAAGACCAGAGGGGAGTTGGACATGTGGACGAGCTGGGGTACATTTTCAAGCTTCCAGCCACCTTCAAATTGGACAGGACTCGACCAGAGTTCACAGCCATTCGCCGATTGGTGGCCATGTTTGTGCACTTCGCCGCCACCGCGGATCCAAATGCTCCGCTCACCAGATCTCTAGTGGATTGGCAACCCGTAGCCCGATTCGGAAGTCGAATGCTCCTTAATATAAGCGAGGACCTAAAATTTATTCCGCAGCCAGAAATGCCGAAGCTAAAGCTTTTCGATCGTCTTTTTGAAATGGCTGGAGTACCTTTATTTTAAGAACCCTATCTTTTCCATCTGTATTAAAGTCGAAATATAAAAAAGTTTATTCATTAGAAATAAACAGGTATATTGTTTGAATTGTCCACAACCATAGTTAAAGGCTCAAAGGCCATTATGTACATTTTCAAAGCTGTAACGATTTAAGCTTATGCCGTAAATTTATTTTTATTACTTTTAAACTTTGCCTTTGACAATTCACACAGTTGAAAGATAAGGTGCGTCGCAAATTTTACCACATAGGTGTGAAAGCTCGATCACCAGACAATGTTTTGGCCCCCAGTGTGGGGCTTGAACTTTTCGCGTTGCTTTGGCGTTGGATTAGCAAGCTCATTAGTACAAAGTACATTGGAGTGTCGACACCCACCGCGCACGCATGACCCTTAATGATGTCCGAAAGGTGAGTTCTTGAAAACCGGAATCGCCCAGAATTTTATCTATGGAGCTTGGTTACAGCAGCCTGGAAACTTGCGAACTTACCCTGCCCGTGGGTCAAATTAGGGGCGTTAAGCGCCTTAGTCTCTATGACGACCCCTACTTCAGCTTCGAAAAGATCCCCTTTGCGAAGCCCCCGCTGGGAGAGCTGAGATTCAGGGCTCCAGTGCCTGCGGATCCGTGGAGCGGAGTTCTGGATTGCTCCCACTACGCAGAGAAGCCAACCCAGAGGAGTTTGCTGACTCGCGTTATCGAAGGCGGCGAGGATTGTCTGTATCTGAACGTCTATGCCAAACAGGTTAGTGTACTGCGGGCTATTTGGGCCATCATAATGTATGTATTATAGATTTTTAAAATCAATTTACGATTGTGCACATATATGTATACCCCCCATAGCTGAAGTCGTTGCCGCAATCGATTATAATGACTGATAGCCGATTTATTTTTGCAGTTGAAGAGTGACAAGCCTTTGCCGGTAATGGTATACATTTTTGGCGGGGCTTTCACCATAGGCGAGGCAACCCGTGAATTGTACGGCCCGGACTATTTTATGGCCAAAGATGTTGTTCTTGTGACGCTTAACTATCGCGTGGATTGTTTGGGTGAGTAAGCTGAATCTGATAGCAATTATCTTATCAATCAAAACAGTTGTTTGGTGCGCCTGTTTTTGTAATCTATGGATTTAAAATGACCGTCTACTTTTACTGGAAATATAACTATTTATACCAGCTACAGAATAAAAGACTATACTATATTCCTAAAAAAATGAAACTGACAGAAAGAGGCGTTTCTAACACAATAAATTATATACATATATTATCCGTCTGTCTGATATTTTATTTATGATATGTAAGCTTTAGTTTAGCCAAACCTTATTAACCACTAAAGATAGAGACTTGTGTTTTTGCCACTTTCCCTCGATTTCTATAAGGAAATCAGGCATTTCTTCACATTTGTGTTGATAACGATACGAACAATTTATTTATAAGTTAAAAGCGGCAAACTCATAAGATATAACAAATCAAAGCACCTCCGGACGAGGTAAAAATCAACTGACGATCATAACTGACGAACATAAAAGTTATAATATTAACTTTTGTGATGGAAAATAATTTTTCACTTTTAAACATACTATATCAAGATGTGGATTTGTTTTATATATTTTTATTTAAGTTTTAACATAAAACAAAATAAATGTATTTATTAAAACTAAAAATCACTCTACTCGAAAATTCAATTTCTACACATTTCATTGGAAGTCAATTAAGTGAATGGTAGAAATGCACACTCACATTTGTTAAACAAATTTAAAGTAAATCTTTTTATTCTATTGCCCTATTTCCTAAAGGATTCCTCTCCCTCCAGGATCCGAGTCTGCAAGTTCCCGGAAACGCAGGCCTTAAGGACCAAGTGCTAGCTCTTAAGTGGGTCAAGCAGTACATTTCCAACTTCAATGGCGATGATAGTAATATAACGGTATTTGGAGAGAGCGCCGGCGGATGTTCCACCCACCTTATGATGTGTACGAAGCAGACCAGGGGACTCTTCCACAAAGCCATTCCCATGTCGGGAACGGTCCACAACTACTGGTCCCTCAACCCGGCCGAAGACTTTGCCTTCCGCCTGGCTCAGCAGAATGGTTTCACTGGCGAAAATAACGACGCCAAGGTACTGGAATATCTCCGCGGAGTTCTGGCTAGGGATTTAGTGAACCATAATTTGATAACACCCGAGCACCGAAGAAATGGTCTGCTCTTCGCCTTCGGACCCACAGTGGAGGCGTATGTGGGTGAGGATTGCGTGGTGCCCAAGCCGCCAGTGGAGATGGCCCGGGATGCGTGGTCCAACGATTTGCCCGTCATGCTGGGTGGAACTTCCTTCGAGGGCCTGTTCATGTATCCAGCCGTTTCGGCCAATCTCAAGGCATTGGATGAGCTAAGCAAGGATCCACTTAGGCTGGTGCCAGTTGATGTGCGCAGGGTTAGCAGCGAGGAAGACAATCTGGAGTACAGTCAGCGCCTGATCAAAGCCTACTTCGGAGATGCACCGCCCAGCTCAGGACTGTTTATGAATATGCTCGATGTATGTAAAAGACATGTTTTATAAGACTTTCTTATCAAAAATATTATATTTACTTTCTTAGCTGTATTCCTACAAAGTATTTTGGCACGGCTTTAATCGCACCTTGAACGCAAGACTTACCTATGCAAAGGCACCCACATATTACTATCGGTTCGACTTCGATTCGCCGAGCTTCAACTTCTACCGGACTAAATTCTGTGGAGATCACATTAAAACTGGGGTGGCCCATGCTGATGACCTGAGCTATTTGTTCCGGAACGTGGGCTCTTGGAAACTGGAGAAGACATCTGCGGAATACCGCACCATCGAAAGGATGATTGGCATTTGGACGGCATTCGCTGCGACCTCCAATCCTAATTGTCCTGAGATTGGCCATTTGGACTGGCGACCATCTACAAAGGATGATCCCAAGCGAGTTGTTAACATCAGCAGCGAGGTCAATATAATAGATTTGCCCGAGTATGAAAAACTTCAGATTTGGGATAGCTTGTATAAGCCAAATCAATTGATCTGAGCATACAAATAAATTTTTCCGTATATATGTTCAGAAAAGTACAGTTTTTTATACCTCGCTAAGATAAAATTAAGTTGCATTTATTTACCATTTAGGATTTCTATGATAATATTTTTCGATCTTGCCAAGTCCTGTTCCTATGAACATGGAGATATCGGGAACTAAAAGAACTCAAACAATGAAATTAGGCATGCTGCTAACAATTTTAAGCAAGATAGAATGCTATAGTCGAGTTCCTCGACTATCAGATACCCGTTACTAAGATAACGTTAGTGCGAAAGAGAAATTTCATAATTTTCTGGAATATCGAATACTTTTTTTGGCAAATCGATAGAAAATTACAAAACTAATAAAAAAAATATCCAAATATTTTTCAAAAATGTGGGCGTGGTTGGACGGTGGAGTGGGCGTTGAAAAAAGTTTTTCGGCAATCGATAAAAATTTATATGACTAAATAAAAACGCTACGAGTAAGGCGTATAAGAGACTATTGAAGTTTGGATTCTAGGAAAAATACTTTTTTATTCAAATAAATAAATGGAATTAAATTTTCAAAATCCATTGTTTTTCCCTTGCGATCGATTTATCCTTATTAACATTTTTACTGAGGGACTGAGTAACTGGTCTCTAAATGTCGAGGAACTTGTCTACAGGGTGCTCACTTGTTATACTCGATACACGCAGAGAAAAAGAGATGTGTTCAAAAGTGTGTAACAGGTAGAAGGGCTATAATGTTCGTACTTGGTAGGGGGATTACCGGCTGATGACGCCCCATTGGGAATGGGTATATTCAATACCTTCTCGGAATCCATCGCCCAGAGTCACCATATTAACCAGGTAGTCTTTCTGAAGGTATGCATGTTGTCCCAAAGTGTTTAATGTTTTACTAGTTTAAATTCAATCGACAAACGACACGAACTGGGAAAGGACGGACGACTTCTAACAATGTCGGAGAGGTACAGAATTTTATTAAAACACCCTGGCAATTTAAGAACTAGGGACAAATTTAGTGAGACAAATTAGTTAATTAATTGAAAACCGGAATTCCCCCAGAATTTTATCGATGGATCTTGGTTACAACAGCCTGGAAACTTGCGAACTTACCCTGCCCGTGGGTCAAATTAGGGGCGTTAAGCGCCTTAGTCTCTATGACGACCCCTACTTCAGCTTCGAAAAGATCCCCTTTGCGAAGCCCCCGCTGGGAGAGCTGAGATTCAGGGCTCCAGTGCCTGCGGATCCGTGGAGCGGAGTTCTGGATTGCTCCCACTACGCAGAGAAGCCAACCCAGAGGAGTTTGCTGACTCGCGTTATCGAAGGCGGCGAGGATTGTCTGTATCTGAACGTCTATGCCAAACAGGTTAGTGTACTGCCTGTATAGATTTTTAAAATCAATTTACGATTGTGCACATATATGTATACCCCCCATAGCTGAAGTCGTTGCCGCAATCGATTATAATGACTGATAGCCGATTTATTTTTGCAGTTGAAGAGTGACAAGCCTTTGCCGGTAATGGTATACATTTTTGGCGGGGCTTTCACCATAGGCGAGGCAACCCGTGAATTGTACGGCCCGGACTATTTTATGGCCAAAGATGTTGTTCTTGTGACGCTTAACTATCGCGTGGATTGTTTGGGTGAGTAAGCTGAATCTGATAGCAATTATCTTATCAATCAAAACAGTTGTTTGGTGCGCCTGTGTTTTGTAATCTATGGATTTAAAATGACCATCTACTTTTACTGTAAATATAATTATTTATACCAGCTACAGAATAAAAGACTATACTATATTCCTAGAAAAAAATGAAACTGACAGAAAGAGGCGTTTCTAACTCAATAAATTATATACATATATTATCCGTCTGTCTGATATTTTAATTATGGTATATAAGCTTTAGTTTAGCCAAACCTTATTAACCACTAAAGTTAGAGACTTGTGTTTTTTGCCATTTTCCCTCGATTTCTATAAGGAAATCATGCTTTTCTTCACATTTGTGTTGATAACGATGCGAACAATTTATTTTTAAGTTAAAAGCGGCAAACTCATAAGATATAACAAGTAGTTTCATAAAGCCACTTACAGAAATATTGAGATAGACTTAAACAAACAGTGGAAAAAAATTATAATCTGTATTAAATCTTTTAATATCAAATCAAAGCACCTCCGGACGAGGTAAAAATCAACTGACGATCATAACTGACGAACATAAAAGTTATAATATTAACTTTTGTGATGAAAATAATTTTTCACTTTTAAACATACTATATCAAGATGTGCTTTTGTTTTATATATTTTTATTTAGGTTTAAATATAAAACAAAATAGCTGTATTTCTTAAAGCTAAAAATCAACTCTAGTCGAAAATTCAATTTGTACACATTTCATTGGAAGTCAATTAAGTGAATGGTAGAAATGCACACTCACATTTGTTAAACAAATTTAAAGTAAATCTTTTTATTCTATTGCCCTATTTCCTAAAGGATTCCTCTCCCTCCAGGATCCGAGTCTGCAAGTTCCCGGAAACGCAGGCCTTAAGGACCAAGTGCTAGCTCTTAAGTGGGTCGAGCAGTACATTTCCAACTTCAATGGTGATGATAGTAACATAACGGTGTTTGGAGATAGCGCCGGCGGATGTTCCACCCACCTTATGATGTGTACGAAGCAGACCAGGGGACTGTTCCACAAAGCCATTCCCATGTCGGGAACGGTCCACAACTACTGGTCCCTCAACCCGGCCGAAGACTTTGCCTTCCGCCTGGCTCAGCAGAATGGTTTCACTGGCGAAAATAACGACGCCAAGGTACTGGAATATCTCCGCGGAGTTCCGGCTAGGGATTTAGTGAACCATAATTTGATAACACCCGAGCACCGAAGGAATGGTCTGCTCTTCGCCTTCGGACCCACAGTGGAGGCGTATGTGGGTGAGGATTGCGTGGTGCCCAAGCCGCCAGTGGAGATGGCCCGGGATGCGTGGTCCAACGATTTGCCCGTCATGCTGGGTGGAACTTCCTTCGAGGGTCTGTTCATGTATCCAGCCGTTTCGGCCAATCTCAAGGCATTGGATGAGCTAAGCAAGGATCCACTTAGGCTGGTGCCAGTTGATGTGCGCAGGGTTAGCAGCGAGGAAGACAATCTGGAGTACAGTCAGCGCCTGATCAAAGCCTACTTCGGAGATGCACCGCCCAGCTCAGGACTGTTTATGAATATGCTCGATGTAAGTAAAAGACATGTTGTTTTATAAGACTTTCTTATCAAAAATATTATATTTACTTTCTTAGCTGTATTCCTACAAAGTATTTTGGCACGGCTTTAATCGCACCTTGAACGCAAGACTTACCTATGCAAAGGCACCCACATATTACTATCGGTTCGACTTCGATTCGCCGAGCTTCAACTTCTACCGGACTAAATTCTGTGGAGATCACATTAAAACTGGGGTGGCCCATGCTGATGACCTGAGCTATTTGTTCCGGAACGTGGGCTCTTGGAAACTGGAGAAGACATCTGCGGAATACCGCACCATCGAAAGGATGATTGGCATTTGGACGGCATTCGCTGCGACCTCCAATCCTAATTGTCCTGAGATTGGCCATTTGGACTGGCGACCATCTACAAAGGATGATCCCAAGCGAGTTGTTAACATCAGCAGCGATGTCAATATAATAGATTTGCCCGAGTATGAAAAACTTCAAATTTGGGATAGCTTGTATAAGCCTAATCAATTGATCTGAGCATACAAATAAATTTTTCCGCGTTTATGTTCAGAAAAGTACTGTTTTGCATACCTCGCTAAGATAAAATTAAGTTGCATTTATTTACCATTTAGGATTTCTATGATAATTTTCTTCGATCTTGCCAAGTCCTGTTCCTATGAACATGGAGATATCGGGAACTAAAAGAAGTCAAACAATGAAATTAGGCATGCTGCTAACAATTTTAAGCAAGATAGAATGCTATAGTCGAGTTCCTCGACTATCAGATACCCGTTACTAAGATAACGTTAGTGCGAAAGAGAAATTTCATAATTTTCTGGAATATCGAATACTTTTTTTTGGCAAATCGATAGAAATTTACAAAACTAATAAAAAAATATCCAAATATTTTTCAAAAATGTGGGCGTGGTTGGACGGTAGAGTGGGCGTTGAAAAGTTTTTCGGCAATCGATAAAAATTTATAAGACTAAAAAAAACGCTACGAGTAAGGCGTATAAGAAGTGACTATTGATGTTTGGATTCTAATACGAAAAATACTTTTGTATTCAACTAAATAAATGCACTCAAGTTTTCAAAATCCATCGTTTTTCCCTTGCGATCGATTTATCCTTATTATTTTTTAACTGAGTAACTGGTATCTAATAGTGGAGGAACTTGTCTACAGGGTGCTCACTTGTTATACGTGTGTTATATGTGTTAAAAAGTGTGCAACAGGTAGAAGGGCTTTAATGTTCATATTTTCTTGGTAGGGGGATTACCAGCCGAGTCGCCGATTACCGCTCATTATCTCCCCGATTTTGGGAATAGGTATATTCAATACCTTCTCGGAATCCATCGCTCAGACGGTGAGTTCGCACGTATTAACCAGGTAGTCTTTCTGAATGCATGTTGTCCCAAAGTGTTTAATGTTTTACTAGTTTTAATTCAATCGACAAACGACACGAACTGGGAAAGGACGGACGACTCCTAACAATGTCGGAGAGGTACAGAATTTTATTAAAACACCCTGGTTATTTGAGAACTAGCCCTGCAAGTGGGACAAATTAAGGGCGTAAGGCCAATAAGGCCAAGCCAATTGATCTAAAATAAACGATTTGACGCAAACTTAGGTAAACCGATCTTACCTTGCTAAGATTTAGTTATAATTTTTAAAGAACCAATATGAAGAACCGATGTCCCTATTTCTCCTGATGAAGTAATTGGTTATTCCCGGTACTCTTCGCAGGAACTGAAAACTAAGTATATAAATATGTATGTACATATGTCCTGATTAGGATCACTGGCCTAGTCGACTACATATGTCCATCTGTTCTGCGGTGGAACGTCGAGATATTAAGAATAATTAAGTCTAGAAAGTTGGGATTAGCCCTTTTTCTTTCTTGGAATATTATGAACTTCCGCGCGGTGTGAAGAAAAGAATGGATGCAGAATGACACAAACAATATCGTTCCAGGGTTTTTATAGGTGGAATTCTAGATAATACCTGGTGAAAACATTACAGAAAAGATTTTAATAGTCGCGGAACTGGATCCATCCATGCATACGTGGAATTCTTAGTAAAGACCCTATCGTTCATTATTATGACTTTGGGAACGAACTGCCACTATTCACTATTAACCAATGGTCCAAATTTTACTACACATAGGTGTGTAAATCCCAAACCAGTGCCCTTTTTGAAGTGCAGTTTCCTGTGGACTGTGAAATGATGTATAGGGGTTTAGTTATCCGAAAAATAACTTGCTTATAAACAAGAAAAGGAGCAACTCAATAAATATGATAGAAATACACAACAATTGTCGTGTAAGGAAGTGATATACCCCATGTGTACAACTTTTTTAATGCACTTTAGGTTTTATATCAAAGTTCATCCATTTAAGTGCAATTTATACTAACTTTTAATAAATTAAAACACCAACTGGGTTCTTGGGGTTTTTATTTTCCTTTTTGTTCGCTATACAGTGTCGCAGAGAATTTATGCATGCGAGTGGGAGCGTATGAAAATAAGCGGGATTTTGAGGGATGCACACCTATCCGCTCTAGTACTCCTCAGCACCCTCGCCCTCGCCATCACCCGAGTCCATGCCGACCTCCTCGTAGTCCTTTTCCAAGGCAGCCAGATCCTCGCGGGCCTCGGAGAACTCGCCCTCCTCCATGCCCTCACCAACATACCAGTGGACGAAGGCCCTCTTGGCGTACATCAGGTCGAACTTGTGGTCCAGACGGGCCCAGGCCTCGGCGATAGCAGTGGTATTGGACAGCATGCACACGGCACGCTGAACCTTGGCCAGATCTCCGCCTGGAACCACAGTGGGTGGCTGGTAGTTGATGCCCACCTTGAAGCCGGTGGGGCACCAGTCCACGAACTGAATAGTGCGCTTCGTCTTGATGGTGGCGATGGCGGCGTTCACGTCCTTGGGCACAACATCGCCGCGGTACAGCATGCAGCAGGCCATGTACTTGCCGTGCCGGGGATCCACCTTGACCATCTGGTTGGCTGGCTCAAAGCAGGCGTTGGTGATCTCGGCCACCGACAGCTGCTCGTGGTAGGCCTTCTCGGCGGAGATGACGGGGGCGTAGGTCACCAGCGGGAAGTGGATGCGGGGGTAGGGAACCAGGTTGGTCTGGAACTCGGTGAGGTCCACATTGAGGGCTCCATCGAATCGCAGAGAGGCGGTGATCGAGGACACTATCTGGCCGATTAAACGATTCAGGTTAGTGTAAGTGGGTCGTTCGATATCCAGGTTGCGGCGACAGATGTCGTAGATGGCCTCGTTGTCCACCATGAAGGCGCAGTCGGAGTGCTCCAGGGTGGTGTGCGTGGTCAGGATGGAGTTGTAGGGCTCCACCACTGCGGTGGACACCTGCGGAGCTGGGTACACGGCGAACTCCAGCTTGGACTTCTTGCCGTAGTCCACGGAGAGACGCTCCATCAGCAGAGAGGTGAAGCCAGAGCCAGTACCCCCACCGAACGAGTGGAAGATGAGGAAGCCCTGCAGACCGGTGCACTGATCGGCCAGCTTGCGAATCCTGTCCAGAACAAGATCCACGATCTCCTTGCCGATGGTGTAGTGGCCACGGGCGTAGTTGTTGGCCGCATCCTCCTTGCCGGTGATCAGTTGCTCGGGGTGGAACAGCTGACGGTAGGTTCCGGTACGGACCTCATCGACCACAGTGGGCTCCAGATCCACGAACACGGCGCGGGGCACGTGCTTGCCAGCTCCAGTCTCGCTGAAGAAGGTGTTGAACGAGTCATCACCTCCGCCCACGGTCTTGTCAGAGGGCATCTGGCCATCGGGCTGGATGCCGTGCTCCAGGCAGTAGAGCTCCCAGCAGGCGTTTCCAATCTGGACACCAGCCTGGCCCACGTGGATAGAGATACATTCCCGCATATTGATTTCAAATGGGGTTTCCGATTCCGGGTTTCTTGTTTCGAGTTTCGGTTTCTCACACGCGACTACGGAAAATCAACGGAAAATGTGTTAAGCCTACGATTTTGCTGTCTGACTCTGCGGGCGTATACGTTGGAATGCCCGAGAATGGATTTTCAACAGACGTAAATCGCACGTAGCTCTGTTTTACGAAAATAAGCCTCACAACTCGGATATTAGATATTAGATAACTATCTATATTATACGTAAACGCGTTTTTTTAACCAATCGATTTTGCTCTGCTGACACGGAAAACCCTGTCAGGCCGCTGCTTGCTTCTTTTGTTTGAATTCGGCTTTAGTTTCGCGCTGATTTTTACACAACATTGCTAGCTCTTGGCCAATACTTGATTACCATCGGCAGGAGTGTTCAGATGCGGCTATATTGGCGCTATTTACCAGATTTCAAGATCAGTCAAATTATTTAGCACAAGCACGCTTGTTCAGTGGATTAAGTGTGACCGCCCGCTCGGAAAAATAAAGATACCGAGCAGTCTATGAAATACTAGTACTTGCTTAAATAAACCACATATTAAAAAAATTAAAATTTACGTTCTCCTTGAATTCGACTCCTAATTAACTTGAATGGGCACGGTACTTTTAATTAGTTTAATTATGTAGTGCTTGCATATACTATTTACCAAAAAGAACAAAGTTTGTAATGTGTATATTTACGGTTAGGTTATGGGAAACAAATTGAGCGTGACAATATTATGTTCATATAGCTTTAAATAAAGCAGCAAGCGACCTGTAACCAAGGCGACCGCCTTGTTCAAGTTTAGTATATTTTTGTGTGCAGTATGTTGTGAGTGCAGTACAGTGCTGCGCAGTTATCGATCCACTTTGCGCACTTATCGATAGGTTGCGCGCGAAACTAGCATGCTTTGAAAAAACGGACAGATGTGTTTTTGTATAATAGTGGTTTTGCCATTCGTGTCAAAAGGCTAACAAGTTTTTGGAATCTACTATTATTTTGTGCACTATTCTTATTTTTATGCAACGCTCTGAAGATTCGTAAGTAAAAGCGACTATTAAATACCCGCTACTCAGCTAATCAAAGTCCGTGGGTGGGAAAATCATGTGGGCGCAAGATAAATGTAATAAAATTAAAAAAATATTTTATTTTCAAAAGAGTGGACGTGATAGATTTTTCTTACAATTTTCTTTGGTTTGATGCACAGTTATTTCGAGAAACTTTTCCAAAATGGAATTTAACGCTGAATCGAGATATTGAAATGGTGATTCGAAATGTAGTCACCTCACAACCGGAAATCCTTTCACTAGTCTATTCGGTTGACCTTTGAAACATTACTCAGCTCCGAAAACATTAAACATAATTTACCCTTAGTCCACAACCAGCATCCGAAAGTGACTCTCAGAAATTCGAAAATATGAATTCCGATACTCCGTTGAAGGCTGAGGACTCCAGCCAGATGTTTATGGATCTGAAGAACCTGTTGTTGTGGCGCAATTGCCGAAAGACTTTGATTGTCTTTACGGGCATCCTGCTTTTCCTGCTGGATGTTATGGTACATTCGGTGATCAGTGTAGTAAGCATGACAGGGATCACAGTTCTCCTGGCAGCTATTGGCTATCGCCTTCTGGTGCAGTTCTGGAGGATCTGGAAAAAGGATGGGAACAAAGATCAGATCTCACGTTGCTATCCTCACGTGAAGATTGAAATTCCCCGGGAGGAGACTCTTCAGCTGGCCGGAAAAGCAGTTGTCCATCTAAATTCAATTTTAAACCGTTTGATTGAACTGTTGCTAGTGGAAAAGTGGGAGGATTCCTTAAAGTTCCTTGTTTTGCTCTGCGGCTTCAATTTGCTCGGAGATTGTTTGAACGGATTGTCTTTGCTTCTATTTGGTATGTGCATGTGTTTAATATGGTTTCACTTTAATTATGCTTGAGATGAATTTATTTTCCCTGTAGGACACGTGTTTATTTTTACCCTACCAAAACTGTACGATTCGTATAAGCTACATGTTGATGTCCAGATCCGGAAATTCCGTGTATGCAAGAAGGATAAATCGAACGTAGTCGAAGCTAAGGATGAAAAAACGGATTGCATTCAAAAAGAATATACGCCGGAGTCACTATACAAGGGTCAGGAATCCAATGAGGGCAAAATGCTGTATGAGGTATGCGATAATGAGCAACTTCTAAGTCTCCTGGAGGAGGAGCACCGCAAAGGATGCCGTTGCCGTGATTGTGAGCACGGGGATTTGCCTATTGAGGCACACTGAACTATGTTCATTTCAAAATGAATCAACCTTTGATGTTATTGTTCAAAATTAGAGTAGTGGAAATATATATTCCGTATTTTTTCCACTAATATTTTTTTCTAATCAGTTGGCCATCCTTATTACCTCATTACCTAACTTCTCCGATTTATTCAGGGTCTCGGGAACACATTTAGCTTGGATCAAGTCTACCTTCTCTTTCGGGTCAAAAATAGCATTTGACTATGACATGTGGAAACTCTGTCAGCCGAGAATTCGAAGTCGGATCAAATTTTTCAGACTCCTAATCCCGCGTTGTGGTCCCGGCTTAAAGAGGTTTTCATGCCCATCAGCAGGTGATGCGGACTCCAAGGTCGTCAATCTTTCAGTAGGGAGTGTGAAGGGTCGTCGGCTGAGCGGCATCTATGGCGACGAGTACTACAGCTTCGAGGGGATTCCCTATGCCCAGCCGCCGCTGGGGAAAACCCGGTTTAGGGCCTCCCATTCGGCAGATCCGTGGAATTCAGAGCTCGATGCTCGGCAGGAGGGACCTATTCCTCTGCAGATGGACCGACGGACGGGCAAGGTCGTCGGCAGCGAGGATTGCCTGTACTTAAACGTATACACCAAGCATGTGAGTAGTTCTTCGCAACGCCCAAATTTGGCCAAACATTTATTAACTCGGCAGGCCATCGTATCCAAACTTTGGCCTGCTCAATTTATGATTCAGTAATAAAACTGTTAAGTAAGGGGTCGGGTAACAAGGCCTAAAAAAGGGGAACTCCAGCCTGTTCGAACAGCTGGTCAAAGAGCTCTAGCTTAGGCATGGTATGCGGTATAAACCTCAGTTGCTCGTCAATGCTGAGGACCATACGAGCAGGTCCCGAGCTTAGTGGCTTCCAATCCACAAAGGGTTTTGTAAGCGGTGAATTGGGATCCGAGGTGGCGGCAAAGTGCACGAGCATTGATATCATTCGGCAAATCGTGGTAAACTCCGGTCGGGATCTGTCCAATTTAAAAGTGGACGGGTGGACATATATATAGCCCAGCTCATCCGCGTGATCAACTCCGCGCAGCTCCTTTCCCCAGTACCGAATCCGGTAAAAGTTGTAGTCCGGCGAATCGAAGCCGAAGCGGTAAAAATAAGTGGGTGCCTGAGCGTACTCCAGTCTGGAATTGATCATTCGGTATAGGGAGTGAAAGACAGCGTGGGTGAAGATGTCTTTTATAGCATCGAAATGATCCAAGCTAAGTTGTTCACCACTCGCCTGGCAGAAATACTCCAGAATTTTGATACCCATTTCACGCTTTTGATCCGAGTTGCAGGTGCTCTTAAGGACAGCGGGAAGTACCCTCTCTGGGTTGTCCCGGAACCCCTGCAAGACCTTGGGATTAGTTTTAAAGCCAACTATACTGATTAGTCCCTCATCAGTGTTAGCGCCTAAAATGATGGGAATGCGGTTGCTCCAACTGGTTCGCAGCAGTTCCTTGGGCTCCGCCAATAAAACAGCATTGGGAGTAGCATACCTCTCAATGGTTGGCTTAAACGATAACCTAATGCCTTCAGCCTTCTCCTCCGGGCTGAAAACGTCAGCAGTAACGAGCTCCACCGGATCAGCCTTCAATAGGAACTCCAAAACCTGGCTATCGACATTATCTCCCTCGTAGCCCAAACACTTCGCCAAACGGTACTCCAAATGTGGCAGAGTGTTAACCTCCATCGAAAAACCCGCCAAAAGGATGGCCTTGTGGAAGAGCCCTTCCGTTTGCGGACTGGCCAACAGCATCTGAACCGTCATGCTGCCCGAGCTGTGGCCAAAGATGGTAATTCTATCGGGGTCACCATTAAAATTACGTGCATTCGCCTTAATCCAATGAAAGGCCTTGATGATATCCTTGAGGGCAGCATTTCCAGGAATACCTAGCGAGGGGTCAGCAAAGCTTAGAAATCCTGAAATGTAGACTCAGTGTTAGGAACTTGCAAAACCTTTTAAAAAACTCACCGAAAAGTCCCAAGCGATATCCAATGCTTATGTGAATAACATTCTCTTCCATAAAATAGTCCGGACCCCAAGTTTTCCTCCAAGGATCTCCGCGAATAAATAGCCCACCATGGATATAAACCATGAGGGGTAAAGGCTTCTTGCTTTGCAGCTTTAAAATAAATAAATAGTAATAATATATCGTTCTGGAATTTAAAAACTTACCGTTTTCACTGTCATATTTAAGTACAGACAATCCTCTGAACCCTCAACCATATTTGTTATTGAGGGCACTTGCAAGCAATTGCTAGCTGGCTTGGAGCAATCTCGAATCCCTGTCCATGGTTGAAGATCTTGTGGCTCCTTAAAGCGAAGAGATCCGAGTGGAGGAGCTGCATATGGGATGCCATCAAAAACATAGAATTCATTGTCATAAAGCCCCTTCATTCGTGTTCCCTGCACTTTTCCATGTGTGGTCTGCACCACGGGGGAAGTTCCACTACTGAAAATAATATACTATTTCACTAAAGGAACAATTGAAAGAAAAATGTTTTTACTTTTCGAAAGACATTTCCGATCTCGGCTGACTCTTCAGTTTGACTGCGGGGGAATCTCAGTGCCCACTAAATACTAGCTAGATAGGAGAGTATACTCGTAAGAACACTCTTACCTTTATGACATCAGTTAGCATGCACTTTTATTAGTGAAGATAGTCTGCAATCCTTGAATAAATCTTATAAACCGTAAATAACTGGGACGGATTAAAAAGTATGTGTAAATTTAGATAAAACAAACTCAAAACAAGATAGAATGCTAAAGTCGAGTTCCCCGACTATCTAACGAGAAATTTCCAATTTTTCTGGAATATCGGTAGAAGTTGGGGGAAAAAAATTATAAAATTAAAATAAGAATTAAAAGTTAACAATTGTTTTAACGAATTTAGAAGATATATTTAGAAGATATATTCAAAAATTCAAAAATATAATATTTTTCAAAAGTTTGTTTTGTGCGGTTTTTGGGCGTGGCAAGATTTGGCAACAAACTTGCACTGCGTCTATGTTATTGGAAGCTGCATGCTTAATCTCAACATTCTAGCTTTTGTAGTTCCTGAGATCGAGGCGTTCATACGGACAACGAACGGACAGACGGACGGACATGGTCAGATCGACTCGTCTATGGATCCTGATCAAGAATATACATACTTTATATGGTCGGAAACGCCTCCTTCTGCCTCTTACATACTTTTTGTATGTATACTTTTCAACGAATCTAGTATACCCTATAATGAGAAAAGCCATGCTTAAATAAACGAAACAATTTTTAATAATTTTTTAGCAACACAATTTTAAGGATGGATATAACTTGTTCTAGCACAATTCCATTTTATATAGGCTTCTATGAATCAATTATCAATTAATCGAAAATAATAAAATAGTTCATAACTTAAACAATGTCCCCCTAGTTCAATGAATCGGAGCCACCTTTGCCCGTTATGGTGTATATCTACGGTGGTGCATTCCGCACGGGCGGAGCAGTAAGGAGCAAATACGGACCGGATTATTTGATGAGCAAGGATGTTGTGTACGTGCTATTCAACTATCGCCTCTGCGCCCTGGGATTCCTTAGTATGCCCAGTTGCGAGTTGGACGTGCCGGGCAATGCGGGTCTCCATGATCAGCTACTGGCACTTCAGTGGGTTAGCCAGCACATACGGAACTTCAACGGAGACCCACAGAACATCACGCTCTTTGGCGAGAGTGCTGGGGCGGCCTCGGTGCACTTCATGATGTGTCTGCCGCAGGCGAAGGGGCTCTTCCACAAGGCCATCATGATGTCCGGATCGATGCTGAGTCCCTGGGTGAATGCTCCCGATAGAGATAGTATATTCTGCCGCCTGGCCACCTCCGCAGGATACCAAGGACCCGCGGAAGAGGTCTCCATATTGGAGTTTCTGCGCCACGTGAATGCCGAAAAACTCATAGGCCACGAATTCATCTCACCCCGTGACCGTTGCTTTGGGTTTCTCAACCCATTTGTTCCAGTGGTTGGAGGCCTGGTTCGAGCCCCATTTCAGCAGCTGATGAAGGAGGCGTGGTCCTGCGAGGTGCCCCTGCTCCTGGGCGGCACTTCCTTCGAGGGACTGGTGTACTACCCTTTTTGTCAGCTCGATAATGGCTATATGCTGGAGCTGCTGAAGCATGAACCGGCGATGGTATTGCCTCACGAGCTGTACCAATCGATGAGCGTGGAGCAGCGGAACACAGCGGCCGAAGCTCTTGTGAAGTACCACTATGGACCGCGCGGTATCACCAAGAATAACGTCACCCAGATTCTAGACGTGAGTATCATAGGTATTAGTTACTTTTACTGCCTCACAACGCCACCAGTCCAGGGATTTATTTGTATCAGAGAAAGTCGGATACAAATATTTTACCATAAAATGTTAATTGACATATTTGATCCACAGCTCTTCAGCTACAAGTTGTTCTGGCACGGCATACATAGGGTGGTGCTCTCCAGATTATCCCACGCACAAGCAGCTACCTATCTGTACCGGTTCGACTTCGATTCGCCCAAGCTGAATCTGATGAGAAACCAGCTCTGCGGTGATGACATCAAGCGCGGTGTCTGCCATGCGGATGACTTGGGCTACATTTTCCACAAACAGGCCCAAGCGAGGCAACCGCTGGACTCCCCGGAGTTCCAGACCATCCAGCGTATGGTGGGCATACTGACCACGTTCGCCAGGACTGGCGATCCCAATTGCCCGGAGACGGGGCCGGATCAGTGGTTACCCGTCTCCGCGAAGTCTCCCTTCAAGGCGTTGAATATTGGACAGCAGGTGGAGTGTGTAACGCAGGTCGAAAAGGATGGTCTGGAGGTGTGGAATGGGCTATACAGTGACATGAATTAGTGGCGGGGTTATGCGGAAGTCTATTTTGCTATCATTTTTGTAATCATTCAATAAACTATTTTGTTTTTTACTCTAAGGGTTGGTAGGTTCTACCTACCGCAGCATTTCGTATTTATTTTCTCCGCTCAAAAAGCAATTGTGCCCACTGTTAGCTTTCCGCATTTAAGCTGATCCGGAGCTTTACGGCAACGCCCCACTCCAGTCGAAAGCTCGGTGACCGTATAAGCAAAAACAAACCGCATCAATTTGTTTATTTACACTACTTTGGCCGGCGCGATCGAAATGTTGTTGACCCACTCAGCGGGCCACTTACCACTTCTTTCCCTCTATTTAGTAGCCCTAAAATAGTCACTTGGCTAAGTTAAGATAGATCGGCTGAGAGCGGAGCACACTTTGTCAGGTAAAAGCATTTAATATATGACTCCTGGTCTCTTTATAGGTGAGATGCTTATCTATCTCGCAGATACTCCAGCAGACCCTTTAGATACCCGGTTGGTTGAAAGCAGCTCTGGCTTTCTGCACTCCGGACTCGAAAGTGCCCTTTTGTCGAGCTTATGCATTCGCTAGGAGGTGTGCCACGCCCACCGCCCACCGCCCACCATCCGACAGCCCACGCTCAATGATCAGCTTGAGCTATATCAGTTTTTGCGTTTATCTCAGCACCGCACTTGAAATACTTGTATTCTTTTTGTGTGCCTTTATCGCTCTGCCGCTCCCCACGCTCTTCTCGTTCGGTAATTTGTATTCTGATATTTGTGTTAATGTAGTATATTTTTTCTATAATATTTCTTCGGTTCTTTTCGCCTATTTGGCGGGTTCGCGCTGTCCGCTGGAATTCGATGTGGAAAAGTGTGTTTTTAATTTCAGTTTCGGTTCGGAGCTGGCGCGATACAGTACGCAGCTCGCGCCTATAAGTATCTACAAATAAACGAGTATATAAACGAGTATAGCAAAGCGATCGCATCGTGTGTGTGCTCTAGTCCATCCGATATGAATAAGAACCTCGGCTTTGTGGAGCGCCTGCGGTGGCGCCTCAAGTAAGTTTCGCCGTTGGCCTCAATGCTGGGAAATATTTATCAACTTATTAATTATTAATTTAACGGCTTATTAATGCCGAGGCGCGTTGTCTCCATACTTTCGATTGTAATTGTGGCTATGGTTTGCTTTGTATTTTGTAGCGGTTCGTATTTCGGGGTTTTGCGTGCCCACCTTTTTTACAGTCAAGTCTGCTAGGCATGACTAATTTTTTGGATGGCAGAAACTAATTTGTGGCTTCCCAATTAAGAGATCTTTGCAGCATTATGCAATCATGATGAGCATAGCAGGGGTAGGGTATAACTTTTTTAAATATAACTTTTTTGGATTGGCAACTCGTACTATTATTTGTATATTGTTTTATGCATGGGCAGTTTGAGAGAGGCAAACACAATAAACCACCGAAATTGCCCATCAAAAGCATTAACTGGCAAAGTTTTTACATATTCTGGCTTAATTCCGGAAAGTTTCTGTCGAGGGTATTAAACCGTCACTTGTAAGCATTAATCGATTAATCGTATTCATAAATCTGTATTCATTGCTTAATCAGTTTAACGTAAAAGATATTTTATATTTATTGACCAATTTACCCGCAACTTTATGGCTACAGCATTATACAAAATGGGTTCTGGCACTGTTGGATACTTTGTTTTGTGATTCAAACCTATGGCTAACATCTATAAATTCTCTAATGACGACTGCATCATTATATTCGATAGACGAGTAGCTCGTCAATATAGATAATGTTAATTAAACATTGACTACTCGCTGTGATCCCAACAATAATTATTTAATTTGCAAAGTCATCGTCATCGTCGTCTCGTATGGCTCTTATCACACATTAACCTTGATAATGAAGCCGCTTGGTAAATAGTGTCAGTTTCAGTCATTTTCACGGTGTTTCGATTTAAATGGCAAAATAAAATTTGGTCACGATGACTACTGCTAAATAGGTGTGATTTTATTTTCCTGCCGTAACGTAATGTAATAACAGTGTGTGCGGGGCTTAGAATAATAATCAGCAGTTCTACGCATTGAATTTGCCTTTAATTGTTTTATAGAATTACATACATACAATGGATTAAAGGGGAATCAAAGTCTGTTTTTAATGAACAATAAAACCAATTAAAAACCATTAAACCAACCTAAGGGCTTGGCCTCAGATAACAAACTGACACCTACTGATAAGGCAGAACAACTGCTCATGCTTATTCAATATTCTGAAGATTACTGCCCAAATGATTTAATGATTTTACTGCAAGCGATTTGAGTTAGTCCTGGGCTTTAAATTTTGGCCAGCGGACTGTGTTAATTTATCACTGACAGACGTGCCTGGTTAGCAGGTGGACACACAGTCGACTGCACCAACTAAACCCGTTGTTCGCCTGATCCTTCAGTTGTACATATGTCACACACTCAAAGAAATACTTATTTATATTTTGAATTCCTTCACAACGTCGGTGGTGCCTCTTTACCTTAAGAACTTGGTTCAGGAAGCAATTCATTTATTTCCAAATTAAATAAAGCAAAATAAAAAATACACAGATTATGTTAAGCATCCAGTATCACTTTAAACTGAACTGATCTAAAAGATATTGTTTGGCTAAGGAAATCAAGTATTCCCAAGTATTTCCAGTGTTGGTAAATTTCAATAGGGCTGGTAAATGGGTTGTGATGCATTGGATGCGATGTGAAGCTGTGGATGCGATGGGATGAACATCAGCAAAACAATTTAAATTTAATGCAATGCATGCAGTATGCCTACTGGCAGTGGCTTTGAGAATGAATTAAAATAATTGACTTTGTGACAAAAATATCAAATTATCTGGGCGCAGACCCAATATTATTATGCTAATTATTTGTGCCGTCGTGCAATTGCAGAACCATCGAGCATAAAGTCCAGCAGTATCTCCTGTCCACCAATGAAACAGTAGTCGCCGACACGGAGTACGGCCAAGTGCGGGGTGTCAAACGTCTATCACTCTACGATGTGCCCTACTTCAGTTTCGAAGGTATCCCCTACGCCCAGCCGCCGGTGGGGGAGTTGCGGTTCAAGGCCCCGCAAAGGCCCATTCCCTGGGAGGGAGTGCGGGACTGCAGCCAGCCCAAGGATAAGGCCGTCCAGGTGCACTTCGTCTTCGACAAGGTAGAGGGCTCCGAGGACTGCCTCTATCTAAATGTGTACACCAACAATGTGAGTAACACCCAAAAACCAGCCGTTCACCAACCCGTCCGTTTACCTGTTCGTCTCAATCTTTCTGTCCGTCTATCTGTCCGCCTTCATAACAATCCTTAATAATCGTTCCTAACAACAATATCGTGTTATTATTTCATAGCATCATCGCACGCCTTAAGCAAAGCGCCGCTCTGTGATGTCAAATATTCAAATGAATATTTAATAAATCAATTTCAATGATTTCTTTGCTCAAAGGACATTGCATTTTCTTGTATTGATTAAATATCTTGAAGGCAGTTAAAACCTTAAGACCGTTTTGGTGACATTTTAGAGATTGTTCTTTGCGTAAGGAAACTAAAAGCTTGTTTCTAACTAACCATTTTTGGTGGTAAATTTAAGGTGAAGCCGGATAAGCCCCGCCCGGTTATGGTTTGGATTCACGGAGGAGCCTTCATTATCGGCGAGGCCAGTCGGGAATGGTACGGCCCGGACTACTTTATGAAAGAAGATGTCGTCCTCGTCACCATACAATACCGACTTGGTGCTTTGGGTAGGCAGCGTGTTCGTATGCTAATATTTTTACATTTTAACATTTTTGTACCTACACAGGATTCATGACTCTAAAGTCCGCCGAGCTAAATGTACCTGGAAATGCTGGCCTCAAGGACCAGGTGTTGGCCCTCAAGTGGATCAAGAACAACTGCGCCAGTTTCGGCGGAGATCCCAACTGCATCACAGTTTTTGGAGAGAGTGCAGGAGCTGCATCCACCCACTACATGATGATAACCGAACAGACCCAGGGGCTCTTTCATCGGGGTATCTTGCAGTCGGGCAGTGCCATTTGTCCTTGGGCCTACAACGGCGACAACACCCACAATGCCTACAGGATAGCCAAGCTGGTTGGCTACAAGGGCGAGGACAACGACAAGGATGTGCTGCAGTTTTTGCAGCACGTGAAGGCCAAAGACCTTATACGAGTGGAGGAACATGTCCTGACATTGGAGGACCACATGAACAAGATATTGTTTGCCTTTGGACCATCCCTGGAACCATTCTCCACGCCCGAGTGCGTGATACCCAAGCCGCCAAAGGACATGATGAAGACCGCCTGGAGTAATTCCATCCCCATGTTTATAGGAAACACTTCGTACGAGGGCCTGCTGTGGGTCCCAGGTTAGATATTGAGCATTTAATTGCATTTCAATTTAATAAGTGTATTTAATTGTTCGCCACAGAGGTCAAGCTAATGCCGCAAGTGGTGCAGCAGGTTGATGTCCCTACCCCTTTCATTCCCAAAGAATTGCTAGCCACAAAGCCCAGTAAGGAAAAGCTGGATTCGTGGAGTGTAAAGATTCGAGATGTTCATCGCACCGGAACAGAAGGCACTGCAGATAATTACATGGATGTAAGTGTCGTCGCATAAGGTGCTTCTACTTTCTAATTCTTTGCTAATTCTTTCCAGCTCTGTTCGATTAACTACTTCGTATTTCCTGCCCTGAGGGTGGTCCATTCCCGTCACGCTTACGCGGCTGGAGCTCCAGTATATTTCTACCGATTTGATTTCGACTCCGAGGAGCTAATCTTTCCCTACCGCATTATGCGAATGGGACGCGGTGTCAAGGGGGTGAGCCATGCCGACGACTTGACCTACCTATTCAGCAGCCTGCTGGCTCGTCGGTTGCCCAAGGAAAGTCGGGAGTACAGGAACATCGAGCGAACTGTGGGCATCTGGACCCAGTTTGCTGCCACGGGTAATCCTTACAGCGAGAAGATCAACGGGATGGACACGCTGACACTTGATCCAGTTCGAAAGTCCGACGAGGTCATCAAGTGCCTTAACATCAGTGATGACCTGAAGTTCGTAGATCTGCCTGAGTGGTCCAAGTGTAAGGTCTGGGAGAGTCTTTTTGATGATAACAAAGATTTATTGTTCTAAATGGAAACCAATAAGAAACCTCTGATACGAAAGGGTTAAACAAAAAAACAACAAACACAAAAAAGTTCATCGACTATCAGATACCCGTTACTCAGCTGGTGGGAGTGCGAACGAGAAAGTTCAACATTCTTTATGGCATATCGATAGAAAGTGGCAAAAAATAAAAAAAATTTAAATAAATGAAAAAATGTTCAAAGGTGTGGGCTGCTTGTGGGCGTTAGAAAAGGCGTGGTAAATTTTGGCGACAAACTTACGCTGCGTCTGGTACACCCTTTAATTCCAGTAGGAATGGGTATACAAATTATATGCCTACACATAAAATCCTATATCTGCATATAAACCTATATATATTAACCCCTATATTTTGCTGTTCATATTTTATCAAAAGGAAATGATCATTTTGCATTTGTTTTTTATACGTTTGATTGGACTTGTAATTGTAAACCTACATATCTTTTACTAAGCCTACATATGTATACATTTGTAAGCCGCAGTTCGACAAGCCCGTTTGACTTTACTGTCAAGCCTTTATTAAAGCAATAGGAAAATTAGGTTTTTAGACATTTATAAATTGACAAGTTTTTTCCGAGATCTAGGGAAAACAAAGGAAAGGAACTCTGATCCCGTTGATAGAATGGCTGCCACTCGTCGTCTGACACGGGAACTCTCCGACCTGGTTGAGGCCAAGATGAGCACTCTGCGCAACATCGAGAGTAGCGACGAGTCCCTGTTGATGTGGACGGGACTTTTGGTTCCGGAAAAGGCGCCCTACAATAAGGGCGCCTTCCGCATCGAAATCAACTTCCCGCCGCAGTATCCCTTCATGCCCCCGAAAATCCTTTTCAAGACGAAAATCTATCACCCCAACGTGGATGAGAAGGGGGAGGTCTGCCTGCCTATCATCAGCACAGACAACTGGAAGCCCACCACGCGCACCGAGCAGGTGCTCCAGGCCCTGGTAGCTATCGTCCACAACCCGGAGCCGGAACATCCGCTTCGTTCTGACCTGGCTGAGGAGTTCGTTAAGGAGCACAAGAAGTTCATGAAGACGGCCGAAGAGTTCACCAAGAAGAATGCTGAGAAGCGACCGGAGTAAGGTCAGCCGCAGTTCACATTATTTGTATATCAAAATTATATATAGTTTGGGCCATGAATTAAAACTTGTCAGACATAAGTTGTCCTATTTTGAATGTTTGCTAGGACAAATATTGGGCGTACCAAATGGACAGCGGTAACTCGGCGGTGTGTCGACATAAATTGGCAAGAAAAATAGTAAAATTAAATAACTGACTGATGCTTGCGGTTGGTGAGTGTTAAAAGTTGTTTGGCATATAGCCACATTTGTCCACAATTGTCCAAGTTATATCTACGAACTGCACTCATTGTTTTAAAATGTTGTATACTACTTACCTCTATACCTACTATACGACGTAAAATTAGTTATAATTTATTACATTTCGTAATTAAAGTACAAGCTACCCGTTTTTTCACAAAAGTGAAAAATAGATTTTAGCTGCTTTTAAACAAGCAAGCACAACAAGCATTGTTGCATACATAAAGTTGCATTAAAATTGTTTTACCTTATTAAAGAAGGTACACATAGCGCTCAAGACCTATTTCATTATGTGGTTTTTGTCTTCCCAATCTAAAATAAACAGAGTCGCCCTATAAATCAGAAGTAATACATATCATTAATGGGCCTATGTAAGTTGAACTGCACTGGTCCACCTGCTTATTGCGTAGTGTTTTTGCCAGAACTGAACTGTCTAAGGGAATATCTGTTGTCTGTACAAACTACAGAAATTAGATTCAAGCCTGCTGGAGATGATGTGATCTCAATAAATAAACCGTCAAATAGGTTCAAAGCGGCGTCAGCAGTAGGCAATTGCTCGCTGAGTTTAATTGACCAATTACGTTGGGAACAAAATTTGTCATATAAAACTGTAAAGCGATTTCTGCCGAGCACAGTTAAAAGCCAGCCTTATTGACTTATCACATGGAAATTAACCTGATATAAACACGTCAGTTTGCCTGGCTTAGTGGGGGAAATTGCGGGGAAGTCGATATAATGTTCTATAATTACACGAACTATATGGTGTTACTGGTTCTTCCTCATGGGGAAACGAACACAATTACCTGGGAGTACATTTTTGATGGTCAGCAATGTTTTTATATTGATTTCGTGTAATACCTTTGTTCTATTATTCTAGCCCAGCTACTTTGCTAATTGCACCATATAGATTTATCATGGTCATATCTAAGGGAAATATAAATGTGTTCAACAGCTCAAATTAAATTAACTTAACTGCCTATTAATGCGGAAAACTGGTAATAATGTATAAATACATTAAATACAAATAAGTGCATTTAGTAAATTTGTTTAGGTAAGGTTATCTTAGGTAATGACCTGTATTTTTGAAGATGGTATATATATATTTACATGTTCTTAATTATATTAGAAAAACAAATATGCTAAGAATCAGGAAACACGAAGAAGCTTCAAACTCTATTTGAAAACCAGTAAATAAATACTTAGTTTCACAAGACATACAAAGCAATGTATAATATTTTGTTGTCTTTAGAAAGCGGTGCAGCATAAATGAAATATTCCTTTACAATGAGCTTTCCCTCAGCGATACCACAAAAAAGGTTACCAAATAACAATCAGTAAATGTAAATATTTAGTTTTAAGTTTATAGGAATCGTGACAACATTTTATTGAGTTAGGCTTCAACTATTGTAATCACTTTTGCATAAGCAGTTAGGGCAGGTCCGCCCAAGAACAGCAATATAATTAATAACAACCGCGGGGGGCTGAGGGCCGACTGGCGGGGCTTGCTATAAACAATAAACAAAGCGGCAGCAACAAAAACGATAACGCCCAAACAAAACAACGGCGCCCAGAACAGCCAGCAAGCGACTCAGTCGAGCAGACCGAGTGCCCCAAGGCATTTGTTTGAGTGCACAGCGCACACAGACGCGCGGCCAGCTAGCGCTAGAATATCACTCATTCGCCCCCGTGGCCAGTGCGGAATGGGCAAACGAGTGGAAAAATCATCACCGACGCGCTGTGTGTGCTTCTGTATGCGTGGCGAACGTCGGCGGGCACTAAACTTAGCCGGCGCTTACTTTAAATGCTCAGTTGCCGAGCGGACCCTGAGTAAAGCGCAACGCCAGCCTCAGATTCTCGGGCTTGAAGTCAGTGGCAGTGGCAGTCGTTCCGTTCCGTTCCGCGACTCAGTGCCTACTTTCAATTACTCCGCATCTAAAATCAGAGCAACAAGTGATGTGACATTGGGCGTTTGAAGCGAATACCGAATAGGAACCTTAAGTAATTCCGCGAAATATAAAAAGCTTACAAATCGAAAGTTAAGTTCCCGTTACGCATTCGCCCCGTTGTCCAGCTGGGATTTCATACAGTTGGCGCTCTCGTTTATTTTCACTGGGATTTCGAGCGGCTTGCCAATTGTGTTTTGTGTACTTAATAGTTTCGCCTATATCCGGAAGGGAATTGATTGCGGCCAGCGGCGTGAGACCACAGCAAGATGTCATTCGATATAGCCGTGGCCGATCAGATGCGCATTGCACTGAAGTAAGTCCCATAATTCAGCTACAGCCATATTCAATTGCCATGCATATTTTGACATCTTATGCATATATTTATACTTATTTAAAATGAATGTTACAGCTTTGAGCATGACGTGATTAATTCCAAGTAAACATTTTTCAATTACGCATCAACATACAATTTTATCAAGTACTGTACCATTTGGTTATTGTTTTTAAAATTGCTATTTGTCAGAAGCCCGCATTCCGCTGCACTAGAGTCTAGTAAATCCATCAATCAGTAAGGTCAATTGGGTTCCACGCTTTTTAGTACCATAACCACCCGGTTGCCGTGACCATACGAGTCCCAAGTTGAGAGGCCCTGATAAGAGAAGTCCGGCCCGCCAAGCCTCATTTCTTATCAATTATTTTCTGAAGCAAAGGCCCGAATCCGGTTCACCGTTTGGGTCTTATTAATAGTCATAAAGCCACCGATAATGTCTCGATTAGCATCCGCATCATCGGCATTGGCGATAACCAAGTCAAATCGTCATCAAAACGAAGTCTCGCCAAATTTAGCATTCAAACTCAAATATCAAATGATTACCAGACGTCTGGTGTGAACCTTGTACCTCCCGAGCATTACACACCAGTTTTGAAAATCAGTATCAGGGCGCTTGAGTGCGAAAAAGTTCAAGCGAATTATGTAGAAGCTAGTCACACACAGTTGATAACGCGTAACTTATTACTGTTACTCCTGTTTGAGCCAATTATCAATTATCGATAGCGGCCAATAGGCTGATAAGATTTTAAACTGCCCAAGCTTAACATGGTGCGTCAGAAAGAGCAACATTTCGCGATCCCCTGATTTAAGTCCTATCAGCTGAGTTCTTTGCAAAAGTATAAATCTGTCTGGTGACAAGCGAAAAATTATTTAACAAAAATCACGTTTGGCAAATGCCAAGGCAATTACAACAAGTTGCAGCTATAGCAGAAAAGTTTTAGCTTATAGGTAAAAACTTGGTTAAAAGCAAAGAAGCCGAGGAAAAATAGCAGTTAAAAAGTTAAACGAAGAAGTCAGGCAAGGTAAACAAGAAGTGAAGAAGTTCAATGGACGAATGCAAAATCTTCGACTCTTGAACAAGAAACTTGAGCTCTTGCTGCGGACACTAAAAAAACCTTTTCTTGTTTTAAATGGCCTAGTGCTTTTTTTTAAATCTCTGTTTAAACGAACCCACACAACTTTTATTTATACCAACTATTTTAAAACCAGCCAGCATTTCTAAAGATTACGATTACTCAACCAGAAATTGTTGTACACATTTCTTTGCCCTTAGTAAAATACCTAAATTGTTTTTAAAATGAAATGCGACTAGAAAAGCTAATCAAATTAGTTTGTTCAAAAATCAAGGGCCGTATAACCTTCTGGCTCGCCTTACGCACGAATGCTTGAATTTGATAGATGTGAAATGCGGAATATCATACTTCCTTTATTTTTCTGCTCGATAGAAAA